TTTTGTCGTTGATGCAGTTGAATAAAAAGTTGCCCTTCAGAATAGCAGTGAAATAAAGGAACAAATTTTGACTTTTATCGAGTACAATTCGTCTACACATGTTTTACCTGATTGAAAAACACCCAGTCAGCTTTGCAAATGGCATTAGTAAGTAAAATAGGAAGCCAGTGGTTGGCTAAACTTCACAAGCACACATCACGCACACGTTGAGTGCAATGCTTTCCAGTTTGTCATTGGCTAGCGGTCATCACAAGGTTTCTACTCACACTTTTACTTCCTTGACTTGAGCAATGGAGATTGAATTCAGACACAGGCATGTTTTATGTCTTCTGGATAGCCACCTTGTCATTCTACACTGCCGCTGGGGAATCCAGCAATAATATTTGTAAGTTTTGATAAAAGTCAACAATCTTGTGCAAATAAGTTGATTCTGAAGAGTCATTCGATGCTGACCATCTCAAGTGTGCTCAAACAGCCATAATAATTTGTATTTGAAACGATGAGAATCACCATTAGAGGTAGCTAGCGGTAATTTTTAACCCCTTATTTTTTTAACTTCTTAAAAATGAGGTAATTAACACCAAGATATATGGGTTTAGCCTTTATTGACAATAAACCGCCTTTTTTAATGGAAAAATTAACTTGTGTTCATGTGACAAGTTTTTATTTTTAGTGCGCATTTGTTCTCGGTATTACTTATATTAACATAAATGTAATCGTTTGCAGGCACTTTAACAGTCTGTGTTGTGGTCGATTGTCGAGAGCTGGCCTGAAAGACTTAGTTTAGTGCGCTGTGTCTGTGCCAGTACTTATAAAACGCAGATATTTTTTGAACTTTTCTAGACTTGAACTCTAAAGTGGAAGTAAATGCCTCAGTGGCTCAAACCGAAAAGGCGGATCAGTATTCAGACGAATGTATTAACATGACGTCCAATATGACTCGATTTCCCAGTCTTGCACTGATACACAAATGTGAGTTATTGGTTTGTACACTATAAACCAATTAAGTGATTTTAGTTCCAAAATATTCAGCAAAGCAACCTTATGTAGATGCGAAACGCATTTTATCGTCCACAAAGGGGTTACAGAAATCAGCTTTGTCTAGTAATTTTAACAAATTGAACCAACTTGAGCAAACATAAATGGAAATTTTTTCATTAATTTCACGTTTCATTCCTTCAGCCACCACGAAATGACCTTAGTTAATGTGTTTTTAATTGCGTTTAACAATCAAGGCCTTTTGATGTTTCATCGGCGTGTTGCTGCAGCACGCTGGAATCGTTAGGCACCGATCCAGGCAGGGCGACTGTGACTCTAATTCGGCTAGTCTTGACCGGGACTCGCAATCGTGATTATGCTACCTGGCGGATTGTCTGTTCATGTCTGCTTACTTTCACTCAAATAAGTAGCACAGACAGTACAGGGAATGAATTCTTCATGTCTGTCTACCACCGATGTCTTGACAACAAAATGCTATTTTCGCAGCAATCCATAGCTCATGTTGCCTCAACAACTTGTCAATCTAATTACGGGATAACCCCGCTCTGCTATAACTGGCTCTAGTAAACGTGGATAGCCTTCGGCTGGTTTATTTGCCTGGCTAAGCTTCCGAAGTAGTACACACGTCTTGGGAGAAGGTTAAAGATTTGAAGAAGGTGATGGCGAAGTGAACCTGCCGCAATTTGAGATATCAATTAACGTTGCTGGTGTTAAAGTAGTCATAAACTCTCGCATTGACACCGAATTGTATTGTGTGCATTTTTACCGGGGATTCGCAAGGCTTAATCGTACCATTTCAAGCCAACAAAGTGCGATAGTGGTCTGTGAAGCGGCCTCTCCAATAGGTAGTTTTGGCGCACCCAAGGTTGCAGGAACCTAACTCAAATTCTGTTGTTTCAAGCGGAGCAGTCAATTGGAATATTTGACAAAAGGAGCGACTTTGCAAGACAAGTAGAACTCCTGTATTCAAAAGTGAATGACAGCGATAAGGTGGAGGATGTTTACATTCCTTCAATGCAACTGAATCCAGCCACTCTACTGAACGCCTGCATTCAATTGATGGAAAAAATGCGACACGAAACAAACGCTGCGAGCACTGAACTATCGATCATCGCTATACCGAAGTACATGAGTACGTAATTTTGGACTTTTAAAATGGTCTATTTTAAGTCAATTAGGATCTGATAGGCCTGTCGGGATCCACGTCATGCGATGTCGAAAATCCCGTTAAAGTACTAATAACATTGCAAAAGAATGAGAGTTTTCAAAGTGGTGCATACGAGTCCAAGAAAGCCGTCAATTAAAGCGAGGTTCTAGTGGTGAGTCATCTTGACAGCACAATGCTACTAAAATCCATTTCAATCAATAAAAGCAAATTGAGCAGTCTAAAAGAGTTGGGTAGTTGGAGTGTGGTGCTTCTACCAAGATGAATGGCGTGGTACACGACAGACAAAAAACTAGAGTCATGGATTTATTAAAGCCAAAAGCCAAACATCTCTTCACATTATCGGAATGTCCTGGTGTCATGTTATGTTGTAATTTAGATCATGTGCATCTCCTTAAAATGTAAAGGAAATATCCAACATGTTTGTAATTTCATATTTCAGTGATTAAGTTAATTTAGTTGGCCATCCCAGTGTAAACTACTCTAAATTTTTTTTTAAAATTTGGTCAGCCAAGTTACTTTATACTTTTAAGCATCACAAACCAAATATTAAGGACCGATGTTATTTAAATCATTGGAAAAATGTTCAATCTATCCGAAGCAAGTAATTATTTTTGATAACAGTCGGTTATGTCTAAGGACTATTCAAGACGCACGTGAAGGTCTTTCTAAATAAAAGCGCAGTTTGTCTTCCTTATTTAACAAAGCTTAAAAAGTAGGGATATCACTCTTCAATTAGATCGGTGTAATCGTGGTTTTGAATTAATCCTCCTTCGGTTGTATAAATAGGTAAATCCTAAATTGGACGGGCAAACAGCACATTCTAACAGGCAAATTTAGCCAAAATCTCACTAGTGCTGTTTTGTTACAGTTACGGAGACTGACAGAGATTAATGAAAGAACAAAGTAGCTACACTGTTGCATGCCAGTTTGTTTGTTAAAATTCGTGGTGCATTATACAGTTAATGTTTCAATTCGTTATTTGTGTAATCTAAATATACTGCAAACACTCGTTGATTGTACCACTACTTTTTTTACAAACTTCACAGCGTGAGTTAATTAGCAACGCAAAGTAATTTAAAAAAACAAGCCAAAGCTTATCAAAATTTAGTTCAATACAAAATGTACCGCAAATTTGCAGGAGTTAGCAACGTATGGGGTCATTCACCTCGATCTTGGTTTGGCCCTTCACATCAAAGTGTATTGTGGTAGATTTGTTAGGTATCGAAGTATTAAATAATTAACATGTAGCTTATAAATAAACATTAAATCCATCTATCTTTACACAAGTTGTAATTGGCTCTTGTCTTTGATTCAAGTTGTTCTTCAGGAATTACGATGTAAAGGACGCATACACTTTTGCTGGTGGGTAAAGGCGTATTTTGATATTTTTGATTTCAGCCGAAAGCGACAATCAACTCAAATGTGAGTTTTAATGTTTTGTTTCAATTGTGCTTTATTATTCTTTCGCAAACAGAGTTCTAAGTAAAACTTCCAAATAACTAGAAATTTAATCAAATTGTTGAATTTAAGCCAAATCGATGTTCTGAAATATCCACATATGCATATATCACTTTACGTACATAGGTACCGTCACTGGTAAAAAATCGACATTTTTGCTTATTTGCATTGGTGAATATTCCCAAACTAATTAAGTGCCCAGAGTGGACCATTGGAGTTTGTTTTGACTAATCTACACACTGCTCATTTTTTGCTTATTTTGGCCTATTTTAGTGATCTCATTTATCACCATTGCCCAGACGTTAGGGACAAAAATGCTGATATTTTGGTATCAAAAGTCAAGTGATGCGGATATCCTGACGGCTGAAATTAATCGAGTAGAAGCAAATAACGTCATCGTATTGCTGGAACAAAATTTTTTGAATGATGTTGTGTCCAATGTAAGATGTTTCTTTTAATTAGGTTCTCATTTGTTAGAACAATTTATGAAAATACTATGCGAGAGTTTTTGTTAGATTTTTGAAAATTGCCGAAGTAACTCTGGTTATGATTTTTGTTCAGGACCGGTTGAACCAGGTGATAAAAATAGGGTTATTCGTGAACTTTCGTTGACTTAAAGGCACTTCTGGTTGGAACGATTGGAAAATAAGCATTAGGCAAACCTAATTCACCACTGTCGAAGCTTTGTAAAAGGTGGCTGCTTAGATGCCCATTGTCTTCAGTATTTTCTGGACTGTTTGCTTATTCGATTCATAGGGTTCTCTAAAATCTGCCGTCGTAGACAAACTCTGGTCGCTCGTGCACCTTTACGTGTAGTGCCCAAGTGAAAGTGGCGTTTTTAGCATTTGGAAGTAAGTTAAAATGGATTACTGTCATTATTTGTTGTTTCAGGCATACAACAGGAATCTATTCACTTGGAATCGACGTTGGGTTTTGATGGCATTGGTACGTAGCCCTGAAAGTTAGTTGAATGAACTAAATTTGGCTAAAGTTGTAGAGAACAAGGTGTTGGTGGTAATCTTTTAAGTCATATTTAGCCTCCATCTCACTCACCAAACTATAACGTATACTTAAAAACAGACCAGAACTGGATTGGCCGTGAGAAATGTTGGGGCTTTGGCTAGCCTAAATCGTCCACGTTGGCGCCACAGAACTAGCTTTTGTTACTTGGGTTTTGTGAGTGTTAACCAATTAAGTAATTTTTGTGAACCAAAATGGCAGATAGCTCAAAAAAGCCGATTAGGACATCATATTAAAACAAATATCATTGCATGATGCATATCGAAAACACCAATCTATTTGTGTTCGGCACGTGCAAGCGTAATTAGCAGGAATCGAATTTGGAAGTGATTTATTATTTTTCTAGAATGGCGCAATGCCTTCTCCACCCAGTGGTGTACAGGTGCGAGTTTACAATGTCTCAGTTGTGCACGTGGGGCAGACTAATGAGCCACTGAACCGATTAGTTGAAACAGTGGAGGACAAATTGGCGAGGGATGCGGCTCAAGTAGCCAAGGCGCTTCTAGATAAGGTCTGTTTGAAGAAAAATGTCGTAAGTATGATACATGCGATAGCTATAAGATGCGGCCCATTGCACTTATTTAGCAGCGAACTGGTCTTTGCTTTTAGGCAAAACTGGTCAGGGGAACTACTGGAGATTTCAACATAGAAAACCTAACTTATCCTCGAGTCACAACTCAGTTGTTTGTATATAGGGGTCTAACTGCCTCTCCCGATGTAGTACGTTTTTGACTAGTTTTTCTCGAAATTCATTTTTAACACCTTGCTTTGAGGCTTCTAATTGCCGTTTTCCCTTTTATGCTTATCAACGAGCACGTCATGAAGCAAAATTATCCGTGCAATGTGTATATGGTGATTTTTCATGGCCGAGTCGTCGTAGTCCAAATATACCGGAATCAAACATCCAGTAGGAAAAAAACTTATGCCATAAGAGACTCCAATACAGGTTGTAATCGCTAACCTGAAAAAGGCTTCTGTTACTATGGCACTTGAGATTTAACGAGTGTAGTCCCGATTTGAAGCCCTAAAGTTACGAAACTAGTGACAATTTCACTGGAACCTAGAATCGTCAGTGCTTCGACAATCAATGGAATGTTCAAAAACTATTAATAAGTTACAGTTTATTGGTTTAGAAAGTTCACCCGAAGTCAAGTCACATGAATTGAAGTGTCACTAGTCTACTAATTTTGCATAATTATAGGTCGGAAGCATCACTATAAAAGACAATGTAATCGACATTAATGGATCATTTAACGCCACATTCGACTTTACTCAACAAGAGATGGACAAGATTTTGACATCTCGGGCATTCAGGCTTGCTGTCTTTTTAGTAAGTTAGTAAATTGTGCAGGTTCTTTCTCAAAATACCCTCGTATTGAAATAATAAAGTTTTAATCACTGCAACAGTTTTTCTCGATTTGTACAGTACAGAAATTTTCAGTTTTCCGTTTTATGTTCGTAGGTTCCACCTTTTGCTATGATGAAGACCGATGCCATGGCGCCTACAAATGGACCCGTTCCTTGTAATATAACTGAGCTGAAAGGATTGTCAATCGACATTGTTACAGGAATCCTCAATCCTCTTGGTGTGACCTATGAATGCACCTGTTATCCATCAAGATTTCGTGAAGAAACGTTGCTTAGTGTTGATGATGGGGTAATAATTTATCCCTTTTTAACTGTGAAGCTACTTAATATCCCTTTTCAAGTAAAAAATCCATAATTATAGAACTAATGCCCCCCCCCTTAATGACAAAGACATTTTTTGGCATCCAGGGATACTAATTTGAAAACTGCTTGAGCTTGTATCTTTGACAATCGTTAATGATACATTAAAGGTGCACACAGAACTGTGGACTGAAAGGTAGTCATTGTCATGTAAAACACCTTCCAACTTCCACGAATCAACAGAGCAACCTGAGTCGATACTTGTGCATTTCAACTGATTTATTCAATATTGCAATGAGTTTTCAGGGGGGATACAGCAGTAGCCCGGGCGATGTAAGCACTTTCCCACTTGTAAAGCACTTCGAAAAGGGATTACAATCGGACTGCCACTGGCAAAAGACGTGCTGTGGCACTCAAGGATTAAGAGTAATTATCGAAGTCCAGCTTGTACAAATATAATTTTGCCATTTAAATTATTTTAAACTTTTGTACTTAAAGGATTTGTAGCTTGTTGTTGTAGTTTTGCCTGTAGAACCACACGTGTGGATAGGTAACATCAATCTATCTCTTAAAGTGTGACCCGGTTTTACAAAAATACAAATGGCATTAGTTATATTTTAACTTGATTTGAGAAACCTGAAGTATCAAAAGCTTCCTATTGATATTTCGGACAAGCGTTTAATGTTAAATAATCTACCGGTAGTAAATAAGATAGAGCTGGCGAAGTTTTATTAACGACCAACAAAGCATGTGTGTTGGTTAGTTTGCAGAGATGGCGGTCGGTGAGTTCGCGGTAACTACACGGCTCAAGAACAACTTTGACTTCATTAGCAACTTCCTTTATTTCACTTTCTCGATTTTGGAGAAACCACCTGACAGCAATCAGAAAACGTACCTCTGGCTATTCTTCAAGCCCCTTTCTCCCGGCACCTGGGTCATGGTGGTATTCTGCTGCTTTGTTGCAGCCCTTGTTATGGCGACTCTCAACTATTTCTCTCCCAACCAAGTGAACTACGGTTTCATTGAATCCGTCTTCGTTACTTTCGGGTGTCTTTTTCAGGGGTTGACGGTATCCCCACCAAACACCTGGTCTAGCCGCGTCATGCAGTGTGTGTGGTGGCTTTTCGTACTCTTTTTTATTGTCATCTACATCGCCAACTTCGCAGCGATTATGATGTCTGATGGAATTCAAAATGAAGCAACAGGATTCCAGGTAGGTGTATGCAAAAAATAAACACTGAGGATGCTATTAACGTAGTAGTAAGTTATAGCCGTGTTTTACAGTTGGTTTTTGTCTGATAATGTCTTTGTAAAAAATGAAAATCCGCCATACGACAATCAGGTTAGTTCGTAAATCTCAGGCACGACGAAGTGCCCCACATTAGAGAAAAGCTGCAGAATTCATGCCTGTTATTTGAAATAAAACGCTAAATTATAGTGATATTATTTTGTTACATTTTCATTAATTTAAAACAATCGTAGACTCAAAGGTCAGATTAGATTGGATTAAATGGCATCCACATTGAGATACTGAGCCGTATTTTAAGGATGTTTCGAGTGTCACCCCTTGTCACCGGATAGGGTGGAACAGTTTTGTGATCACCACGTCAAGAGTGGTGTATTTGACTGATTCACACAGAACAAAGAAGCTTTAGCTCAAAACGACACCGATGGAAACTCATTTGCTTTAGCTTATGGGTGGAGTGGACCGCCAGCGGAAGCGTATGAGCTCGAAGTTGGTCCGGAGAGGCTTGCTGCAAGCCGATTGGCACTTGTGACTTACTAGTCTTTGACCGCAAGCTCTTGATAAAAGCCCTCGCACACTCTGGTCTATCAACTGAACGAACCCTGTGTCCACCACGTCGAGTCACCTTTATTCTCAAATTACTTGGGTATCATCGTAGAATAAGGGCGTAGTGAAACTCCACTGCTGCACAGCAGTCGAATTTGAAATGTGTACTTGCACTTGATAGGTAGTGGCTGTTGCGTACATTCAATCGATATTTGGAGTCGGGAAGTCGAGCACAACTTCATAGATTTCGGGATGCGTCTAAAGTAATTGTTGAAGACTCGAAATCGGGAAAAGGTCAACAAAGCGCATCTACTTCTAAACTGTGGTTGCGTACAGAAAAAAGCGATTTGCACAAATGAACGTTAGAGGAACAATTGTCATTTTATTAAGTTCTCTATACAACGACAAGCGAAATCAAGAGAATTCTGATCAACTGGATGCCGAACAAAAAGACGATAATTCGAAAGACCAATTTGTATTAACGCCTAATCAGCTAATTTTTGAGGGTAAATCGTCAGTTTTGTGACTAATCATGCTGCGAAGGACTTATTGTAACAAAGAAAGATTTTAGAGCAATTTAAGGCAACTAAATTTTGAAGAAGGTGGCCGTGTGCGTACTTATCTATCTTAGTAAGTCGTCAAAAGTGGCAATCAGTGAAATCAAGTCTCAAGTTCAGTCAATAAGTTTATGTGTTGATCACTGATAGACCCAGGGGCCAGCAAAGGCACGGTTGGACCGACGGCTTTACTCTTGAAGTCACTGCTCCGATGGTAAAGGTAAGCGTAAGAAGGAACGCTCCTTAAGTCAATCTGCTTGAATGGGAACTTGGCTCTCAACTCAGATAATTGCGTGCCATTCTCTTTGTTATTTTTCGGGTCACTTGATTGGACAATCACTTGAATTTTGATCACCCTGCTAGTCGTACTCCACGCCTGATACATTTGGATGTAGGTTGCGGCCCTAAACTTATCTGTTGCTTTATGCAAGCATATAAATGACGGTTGTCGGCTTTAAAAGTATTTGTTCTGTTCTGACTTATTTAAAACCCTTGTTTTTATCAGGACAGTAGAGCCTAAGTTGTAGTGGTAAGTGTGTTTTTCTTGTTTACACCTGGATGCTTAATATTTATGCAATTTTGCAAACCACAATTAATCACACCTATCCTGGAAAATTTCAAAGCCACCCTAACCTGAAGATAAACCAAACACTTTTTCACAAAGTATAGGTCCTTTTATTATTGAGGCATTTCACTCAAATACAATTACAAAGGTTTCTTATTAATAGGCATCAAGTCAAGTGGGCGATTGAATATACACATGCGACCTTACGATGAAATAAAATAGTAAGGGATGACGGGGAGTCAAACGTGCATCCCATTAAATTTTAGACAAAATTTTTATTAAGAAAAAACGATTTTTGCCCTCGTTAAAACAAATAAACGTTTTTATTTGGGATGGATCGAAGGCCAAAATGGTACTACTACTTTATTATTTGGAGTTAATCAGATATTTCGAGAATTAGGAAAATTATTTTTATCTTTGAAATGCAATGCCTGTAGATGTCCAATTCCTCCTACTATCGAAGCTTGACAAATGATGAAGCATAATGTCAGTTAATAGTCGGAACTATCAATCATTTTATTTTTGTTAGAAGTCTCAAATATTTGGGACGATATTTTTCTAAAGAGCTTTTAAAATCAGGATTTACAATTTCACTCACGTCTAACAGTAAGATCGGCTTGTGACAGTTCTGAGGAATCGACCGTAGCAAGTTCCTTGAAGCCTGCAAACACCGGAGACATTTAGAAGTAAAGCTCGGTCCCCGTTGCTCGTGTCGCCTGGAGCATTATTGGGGAATTATCTTGAAGCGATTACAAGGTTGGATTAAGGTTGTATAAAACTGATCAAGGGGAAAACTGGCTTTCTTATGTTCATTATACATTCGGGCATTAGTTCTTAACTCTCGCCTAGCAAACAATCCTCCCTGACGTCTCGACAAAAATTCAAGAATATTCCAAGCCCCTGTTTTTATAGTACCATATGCATTGTAAAGTTGAGCCCTGTAATGGATAACATCGATTTATCTTCAAATTAACTCTGAGTCCATGACTTTCTTAAAGCAAAAAACCAAAACCAATAATGATATGCTTTCTTGAGCACTTTTATCATATAAGAAGGCAATAGCAAAAGAATTAAGACAGAACTATTGACGAATAATACTGAAGCTATCTCTCAAAAACGCCAAAGGTGGGCCGTCTTTCAAATATTATTATAACTTTTGGGATTTGGACTTAAGTTCTAACCATCCATTTCCACGGTAGGAAAAAGTTTAATCAATGCCTTACTTTATTGGTCTTTAGGCTTTATTGGTTGATGCATCCACTCCGTTCGGAGCACTGCCCAATTCGATGGCTGCCGAACAACTTCACTACTCGTCGGATCTTGAAATTCAAAAAGTTAATTATCTCAGTCACCATCTCTATCCTCAGGACCCATACAGTAAAATCACCATAGAAGATCGCGTTAAGGAAGTAGCTCAGGGCAAGTATAGGCTCATTAGTGATAGCTTCTCTCTGGAATACTTTGCGTCCAGATATTGCCTTGTTGTCAGTGGTGAGTACTCCTCGCAGCAGTACGCAATCCTTCTTAAACGAAACGCAGTTTACACGAGGTACTTGAACGACCGACTCACGAATTACACGAATGAAGGCAAACTCAAGACCATCGTCGACACGTACGTTTGCAGGCATTACTTACACAATGCGGGCTTTTGAAAGTCCTACGCAATGAAATTCATTGTGGATCGTTGGTGTCTTTCTTAATGTTTTGAAAGAGCAAAACATTTTAATCAACTTGGAATTTTTTAGTGGTAACCTAGAACTTAAGTTCAACTATTAAATTATTCGGTTAACCATGATGATGTTTTGAAAGTCGAAGAGGAAGCCTTGGGACCTTAATGCTAAGTCTTTTCACAGATCTATTCCTACTCACTTCACTTTCTGAAAAGGCAAGTAAAGTAGTGCAACGGACATCAAAATTTGTGCACTTTGTTGTGCTCATTTAAGGCAAAGCTTTCCAATATTTTATCTGGCATCAGTATGTCAATAAATTTTATAAGAATCAATAAAAAAATTATACCACAAAATCTTGCTTGAAGCTACTGCACAAGATTATAGCGCTGAGACAGGCTCGAGCAATTGAGGTCCTATTTGTAAAGGAAACCACACTTGCATTAATGTGTTTGGAAATTGTTGAGGAGTTCAACTTTCTAGATACCTGAATCGCTCTGATGACGTGTCGTGCAAAATGCCTGCAATCGAGCCGGGCAGGGACGAAACCGGCCGCAAAAGCATAGCCCTGGCTGAAGTTGGCGGAATCTTCATCCTCATGCTTATCGGCATTATTGTGGCCATTATTATTTCTATCATTGAATGCTTCTTCGCCAGAAAACTTATGGTACGTTCAACTTGTACAATCAGCAGATGAGTGCTGTTAAGATAATAGAGGTCCTCGGAACTTATACATGTTAGGCAAAATATGGTGGAAAAAGATCGGCTGCAAATTTCATACGTTTTGTTAGTAAAGCCAAGGTTATAGTTAGATGGATTAAAAGGTGACAGTGTACAGCACGTTAGAATAGGTGACGTGCGTAACTAAACTAAGTAAATTCTGCAATGGCTAAAATCACGCTTTTTTATTTCAGCCCTTAGCGAGCCGCATGGTCAGATCAGAGACACGCACCCGTCTACGTAATTTCTGTTGATCAAGATCTGAACGCAGTCCTTTTTGTTTGTCGTCGCATTAAACATTTCCGAGTAGAATGGAAAGAAATAAAAGATTCATTCATGTAATATTTCGACAAGATTCTGAGAATCATCAAACAGACAAGATTGGAGAAAGAAAAAGTTCCAATCAACGAAATGACTGCAGATTATCTTTCCAAATGAGCTTGTCAAACTCACTAAATTGTCCTTGACCTTTACCCCATTTTATTTCATTCAGTTCGAAGCATGAGATTAGACTTTATTTAAAAATCCCATGATGCTGAGCTCCACAATTTCATTGCAAAAAACATGCTAAAATGAAATCTGCGCTTATTGCCTCAAGGATAAAACTTTGATAAGGATATTTTGTTAGTAATGAAGTGCGTGCGCTGCAAACTCGTAGACATTTGAAAATTCTTTGCTACACATGTTGCACTGCCATGGGTTGGAAGAAGTGTGAAGACCCATATGTAGGTTGTAGAGTGTTTGATCGGTGAAACCTATTCCACAATGTCTACAAATAAACGGGTAGTGCAGAGTTGCCGAGTGTTCAGTTGGCGGTGGACGCCACTGGCCGAAGGGTCCAGGGAGGCTTGGTCCGCGTTCAGCCGACTTTGGGGCAGGCTTGAGGTCACCTCGGTTTGCCACGGGCTCGATTGCCTCTAGAGTTTTCGTGCGAGCCTTCTTTTCTGTGGGGGGCTCCAACTGGAAAGGCATTGGAAGCGAAAAACGTTAAGTGGTCCACAATGCAAACTCTGCTACTCATTTTTCTGCAAAAGTATCTCAAAACTAGACTTGCTACTGATTCAATATTCCGCAATATGCCATATTTAGGAAGAGATCATAATTAACAGAAAAAATCAACTCAGTTTAGAAAGTTAATTTTACAATCGTTTCGGCTCAGATATTTTGCCAAACGCAAAAAGTTGGCTCACAAAAAATTGCTTACAAAAAATTCTGATCACCTAAATTGGGTGTTATAAGAAGCCACAATTACCAATTCTTTGGGCCTAGGTATTTTGGATATTCAGGTTTGTTTTGCTTGAGCTTGGCACTATAGCAACCCTTGGGGTGGGCTTCTACAGCTATAAACTATGTGCCAAGTAACATCACACTGTGAATAGCAAATCGTCAAGCCAATTATGCATAATGAAATGATTAACAAACCACAACAACGTCTGCTTAAGGTAAACTAAACGTACAAAAAACTTGCTGCTTTTGCATTTAATAAAACCAGATACTCAAACAAAGTGTTTAAAGGAAACATGGCTGACGTTCAAACGAGCGTGGCTGTTATTTGAGCAAATTAGTTTGTGTACTGAAGTCTAAAATAACTAAATTTATTGTTTTGTTAGCTGAGCAATTTCGGTAGTTGAAGTGTTGCTAATTTCAACGAGTGCACCTCAATCATCTGAGTAAATCTTTCTTCAGCATATGAATTTGAAGCATTACTGGGGAGAATTTTCACGGGCTTAGGAGCAATCAATACAATTTTACCTCAGTGGTAAACTCTTATCTCCATACTCGTAGATACTGGGGTTAAGATTCTCTCCGATTCATCCAATTTACAATTTTTATTTAAATAAGCAACTCCCTAGTGTAAAAATCCTTCTTGTTCCTTTTTACTTATGGCTGATTAACATACCTTATTTAAATAACGAACTTCATGCACTTGGTCTTCGGTTTTCTCGTACAAACAAATTCTACTGGGTGGACCCATAACAGCCGAAAGGGACACTGTCTGTGCTCCACTAGGAGTCGAACTCGCCCTGTCTGGCCGATCTTCTGCTGCCCACTTGCCACTCAATTTCGGTTCGCATGACCTAGGGCGCTTCAATGCCATTGGAGCTTTACTCACTGGATCCATAGGTACTACCCGTGGTTCCTCTGTAGTAGCGAAAACCAGTCGCCTCGGCTTTCGTCCTGGCCGCGAAACTCCCGCGTCCACAGCCGGCCTTGTTTTAATAAAGGACTGAAAGAGGGGCTGAAAAGATGCAGTGTTGCTTCCCGTAAGAACTGGAGGTCTAATGTACCTACGAGCTTGATTAGAGGAGTGGGTGGGAGTTGTAATCTTCGTGTGATGACACGTAGTTGGCTTTTTGGCTCTATCTTCCTTACTAGCATTGCCAATCGAAGTAGCACAGGCCTCTGAATGTACGCTCTCCATCATATGCATGGCTAGGGCGTCACGGTTTAAAAAGTCCTGAGTACAGTTCGGACAAATAAACTGCCCCTTAATAGACGACGTATGGTGTGGTTGACTGTCGTAAGTAGGCTGTTGGTGACGCGTGAGGTTAATAGGTTTGGCCTCTATGTGGTTTGAAAGAGTATTCCTGTCTACTTGACGGTTTGTGGTGAGAGGAGAGAGAAGGTTATGTCCCCGGAGGTTACTGAGCACGCAGAGAACATCCCTGATAACCTCTGCATTCTGATATATCAGACCATGTGCTGGGGCCGTTTCTAATCCTGACAAGTGCCGTTTCGTCAGTGTTCCAACCAAGTTATTTTGTTCATCAGGCAGTCTTGCCAGAGCTTCGGGAGCGTTCTAAAGTAGAAGACACGAAGCATGAAGTGGCGTTTCCCAAGGTCACCTCGGTCAGCCACACTGTTATTCTGGTTGTGTTTCGGAAAGAGCTAATACGGTTGAGATACCTTTTATCATCCACAAATTGCCTTTTTCTTTACGAAAAAAGAGATGTAAGTGGACCTGTTTAATGACCAAATGACGGCGTTCTATGAGAAATTCTCTTCTTGTTTTTCTACTGATGTTTTTTTATTCATTAATTGAGACCTGATTTTAAATAGGAAGCTGAATAATTGCCAATTGCAACGGTCAGGCAATATTTTACGTACTATTTTTGTTGATTGGAGATAATGCAATGTCACATCAGGCATCAACTTTCCACTAGCTTCTTAAGTTGGTACAAATCTGGCAATTTCTTTTAGTGGAATCTTACACCTCACATAATTATTGTCTTCTAAGCAAAGTGCAGATTGAAGCTTCAAGGTTCATTTGAGAAAATCATAGGAATGCAGCCATGGGTACCGACGTATATAAAGTCACTAATAACACATTTGGAGCCTTAAAATGGAGAACATTAGCTCGTTAATATTGCCAATTCGCCAAACCTTTTACCGGTAGAAAAAAATTAATTATTAATTAGGTGAACTGCATGCTCCTGCGCCCCTCTGCTCTGTTCCAGCATCGTGCTTGAATAAGTCATAACGCTCAGTTCATGCTAATTAGAAAGATGGTCAGAAACACATAGGTACCAACAGAGATGAATTTTACCAGCTACAGACTTAAATTATGCACGAGAGAGTAACCTTGAGAGAGTATATGCGTTTTCAATTATTCAAGCCAACCGCGCCAGATGAGTTGCGCGGAGGCCTTGCGTGATGCTTTGAGACGCCTTGGACAAAGGTGTAAAGGCCAACTTCACAAGCAGAACGATGTCGACTATTGCAAGGACTACGAACGTTGTGAAGAGATTTTTAGCAACTCGGTGAAAAATTTATTAATTATCACATGCATTTGCATGCACGCCTTTATTGAATCTGAGCACAGACATTTATTTTTCATTGTAATTAGATAAAGTTGCAGTCTTCAACAACTCGTAATCCAAGGAACTAGCTGAAAAATGATTGTTTGCGATAGAAAGGCGTCAAATCAATGTGCTCAATATGTGCTCTATTGTGCAAACTCTCTGACTGGTAAATAGGCACGATAACCAGCCGATGGTAATTAAAATACCCATGACTATTACCCTTATCAAACTCAAGCTGAAATTATTATAAAGACACACATTTATAACCTGTTTACGAAAATGCATGAAAAAGTAATCAATACCTCTGTGGAAACTAAATGTGCGATTTAAAATTGACAGCTTTTTCCAAATAGTGTAAGGTCTCAAAAAAAAGTAAACGCTGTGGTAACTTGGGCTTCTGCAAGTGCTCAAATACGGCCAAAAATGGACAAATTCTCCCTCAAAATACCCAAATCCTCAGCAAACTAGTAAGCAATTGCTTATAAAGGAAATTCGAAGGTGTCTGTTTGAAACACTTGTGGATTCCTTAGCTTATTGATTTGTTCTAATTTTTTTTATAATTTCACGAAACAAATTCATAAAGCCTTTATGTACCTAAATGAGCTAATGTAAAATAAATGGAACCCGAAGTAAATATAAATCATGTTCACGAAGTAAATGGAAAAGCACTTTTATAATAAAATAAGAAATGAGGAAAATGATTACCTAGACATCGGAATTAGATGTTAAACTAAACTCGCAAATTACGAAGTTTAAGTATCTGTCCAGACACTCTGACTGTTTCTATGATATCGGAAGGGGTCGCGAATACACGAACTTTATTCTTCACTAAGTCACTATAATTATATGTAGAGAAAAAGTAAAATAAGCTCAGCTATTTTATGAAATGTGAAAATGGGACTTTGTAGGAGAACAATGGTCATCGATACCTTGGTTTAGCTATGAAAACCTCGACAGAGATGCATTGCTTAACATTTGGAATGTTACTTTAAACAGTCTTGTAAATGAAGGCCAAGCAGGAAAATTGGAAGTCCGCTTTCCTGTTTAGTAGATATGTCAGTACATTTTTAAAAAGCTAAATTTTGATAAATTAGGTAGCCAAAATCTAGATGCCGTCAACAAGTTCATATTCGTAATTGGAAATTTTAAGACCTTTTGGAAAACTGTCATTTCCGAACACAGAATGTTTTAGCTAAATTAACTGGTCTCTACAGGAAACACGATTTCATATTATATGCGTGTTTTTCAGCGTTGACTAAGCAAGCAGGTACTTAATCTTCCACTTTAATTAAAAGGGGCCTTCCTTGATTTCCTTCAGAAAGCTGAAACCAAAACAATTCAAAATTAGATCAAAAGAATGAAAAAAATGGTGCTAATTTTTAAGCTTGTTATCAATTTTTACTGTGCTACTCTTCAAGATGCCCTGACGGAGAAAGCATACTTAAACACAAGAAAAGTCAGGAATTTCAGTTACAGTGATGAAGGTCAGCATGGTGTTTTCAATAATCTGAATAGCTCAAAAAGTACATTTGTTGTAGTATATACCACTCAATGGAGCGCATTAAGATGTACAGAAAAGTAAAATTCAATTTTTAGAACGATAGCGTCTTAAGTTTTAGTTTCTATATTCAATCAGAAAACAAATGTGAGTCCTGCCTTAACAGCTACTAAGTGCATAACAGTTGGTGAGAGGTTAGCTTAAGGTTGACGTGCCAGACGTCCAGACTTGGTGACCATCGGTGGTGAAGTAATGACAGACTGTCAAATGCATTTATTTTATCAAAGACCTATTAGTAGCATGAGTAAGGTTGTTCTTATCTTGCTGGCTCAACTATCATAGATATTATATTCTCTGGAATTGTGAAATAGCTACAACTTGCACATTGAGCCAATTTGGAGGACACTAAAGTAGTTTGTTTACCTGCATGTCAGTGAATTTAATGATACTTTCGTATGTCAGAGAATTCTAATGTACTAGAATATATTTTAAAACAAAGGACAATGAATAAGTAAAAAGTGATATTTGAACATCTGAGACAAACATAATGAATCCACTCAGCCAACCAAAGATTTTTGGTATTGAGCCTAAAATATTTTGGGGTTTCGCAAAGCTTAACATGCGTTTATCATAATTTAAATTTGTCAATCACTTCATTTTGGAATTACCTGGAATTTTATTTGCTAGGTTTGATAAACTAACCCAGAGATGATCTATAATTTGCTTAATCAGCAAACATGATTTAAGTTTTTTCCCCTCTTCCATATTCAGTCATCTTGAATTACATTACCATTAATCTTCGATTGACTAAATTAGACTTTGTTCCAACGTCATATCATTGTCGTAGGTATATCCTCAGGATTCCTTGTTAAAAGCTTAACCAAAATTAAGTGAGTTAATTTCTTTTAGTGTCTCTCAAAGAATTATTTTAGAGAAATTATGCTGCGAACATACTTCTTGCTTTAATAAACCTAACAAAAAATGGTTAAACTTTGAAAAATTATTTGCCATTAAACAGAGTACCGAGACATAATTGTAAAACATGTTGGGGTATACCAAAAATTAAAGTTTAATCTTTGACTGTAAATACGATTTCTTTGTCATTTTTAAGTGTCAGTGTCAGTTACCGTGGACATTTTAAATGGAAATAGTTTGACGTACATTCACCTCCTTTGCTTGGATCTGCGACATGGATAAGCTTTGAGCAAGCAAATCAACGACTGTTACTCTTTGAGTTCCACACTCACATTTGTCCGTCAAGTCCACAATTGTAGGGGGAAAAATTTTTCACCATTTTGATTGGTTAGCTATTAACCAATCAACGAGGCGTATGTATTCGTGGAAGGTCAGTAATTTTCAACTCTACGAATTTGGTTAAAAAATGCCATGGTTATTGAGTTCTGTGGAAAATTTGGAAAATCTTGCTTATATTTTCATCTGAAATTTATGTTGAGCAAGATTTTGGGCACTATGACAACTTACTGACCCAACAACATACAGTAGTAAGATTTTGCTTTTTTCCTAATCAAATCAATGGGATTGAAAATAATGAACATGTCGAGTGTTGCTGATTGAATGAGGAGGCACCTATTATGCTTTGGGGCTGAACTTCACGGTATAAACTCTTAGGTGGATCAAAGGACACTTAAGAAATGCCAGTGTCTTCCACTCATTTGTGTTTAACTTATCAGCAAAATAATTTCGTTACTTGATATGCTGTAAAGTAGCATTACATAGAGTGGAGACAAAGAATAGGATAATTTAATTTAAAATGTCACAGACTGTAATGGTCACCCAGCATTTCAATTGAATCATTATTTAGAACTATCCTTGGTGGTTAATTTCTCTTTAAATATCCGTGTTGTATAAATTTGAACTAACGTTGCAGCGGTTCCGTAAAGGCTTTTTTTACTCCCAAAGCCGTTGGTCTTTAATATTGGAACTATTATCACAATTATTAAAATTTCGATTTAGCTAGAAAATGCGCAAGGAAACCCGCATCCTTCTTTCACAAACATCTTTTCGTGCTCATTCAAGTAAGCAAAATTTCGAAAGGTAACTGAAACTTTCTTGGCCTAAAAAATTAAAGAAATATATTGTATTAATGTCACACAATGTCTACACATTGGCTAAAGTAAGTTTTTCTGACTGAAGTTCTTTGGTTTCCCTTCTAGTCTTCAGAGAAACATTTACGATAAATACAGTCATTTATTAACTTAGGAAATAGACCATCGATTTGCTTTTCAGTAAAAGAATATTTGACAAAACAAAAGCACACTAAAAAGTGGATTTTGCGCTGGATTTTGAGATTGCAACCTTAAGCCTGTCTGAAAGAAGGTCACCTCTGCTGAAACATTTTTGTTCTGTCTTTTGCGTTTTTTTACCCATTGAGAATCGTAAAACCTTCCTTAACGTAGCACCCAATCACAAGCCGGCCGGTATGAGACACTCGCAATAACGTTTATTTGTTCAGTATTGTCGCTTGATGTTTGATTTTGTAAAAGAGCTACCTGATAATGATTTTAGTAACTTAAGAAAGCGCTGTGAGGAGAACAGATTAGGTATTGCTGCGTTTATGTGATTCACAATAAATATTTCGGCGTGTTCATGCTTTAACAAAACGTTCCTCTCAAAAACGACTAAACCCACATCCCACGCTCCGTTAAAGCTCCCAATGCTTTTAAATCTTCAAGAAAGCATATCAAAATTTTTCACAGAAGGCCCCAAGTGATTCATATATCGGTGCAATATGCTTAACGGCTCCATTAATTTCTAATGTAATGCATAATGTTTTATTTATGAGCACACACGACCATCCTTCTTTTGTGTTTAATGATTAAGGGGTGACATCGATCATACAGACTTTTGCCACGTCCACTGTATATTTTTGTAAACTTTTTGCACAAAAACCAATAGCTGATAATTTACATTCTGCTCACCTCACGAAGTTTAGTCATTCATGGTCTCAGAAATGCAGTCAGTTTAGTCATCGTTTGTACTTTTACTCTTAATTCCTAAAAAATCTGTTGTAACTTGGTGCCAGTAGTACTTTTCTATCAAATGATACCTAAGTGACTTCTGCGCTTCCTAAGTATATCTAGCCTGGCTAGCACGAAATCGGTCATAACTGGGAATCATACCTCTCGTGGTTTAGAGGTGTCGGTTGGACAGATTGCGTTGCGTGAGTTCACCACTGTTCGCGGGGAGGAGGCCTTGTAGGTGCTTCGCTGTCCTTGCCGACAAGTGAGCCACGGGACTACGTCGTGGCTCCAAAGATCTACGATCCCGTCCACTACATAATCAAATGACATTGTTCTAAAAGGCACAGAAAAACGCACTTGCAGAAAAAAATTTCCAAAACTGACGTGTTTTTGAGGCTTTTAATTCGATGCTTCTAGACCTGGCCACAAGTCCCATTCGTAGCTATGCCACAGAGGAGAGAGGAATACTTTTAACGCCAACTTCTCCCTCAATTCAGACAATGACATGCTCTACATCAAATGTCGCCTTTGTGGCCAAATCAAATAAATGCGACAGAAACAGCAGCAAAACACACTATCTTTGTTCCTCCAATCATCACTAGCAGTTACCAAATGCATTCACATTCTACAGCTCATTTACTCTGAATAAACAAACGGGAAGAGGTGTGTCAATGCACCCTTCATAATTGATTGGTGGAATGTTTAAAAACGTAAGGGTTTAATATAATTAGCTCCGTTTAAACAGTTAGTCCCCCACAAATCCACTTTTAAAAATTGTAAACTTGTTTGTGATGGATAGGGTGAAGTGCCGTCAAACGTTTACTTTAAACACGTTTAATTTTTAAATAAAGAGAGCATTTTTGACATTGAACACGAGCTTTTATTGATATCAATAAGTCTGTGCCAAATATCAGACGACTTTGAACTGGGTGCAAACTTACACCGCTCGGCTTTCGGAGCCAGTTGTCCGGGTTCTTAGGATTGCTTCCTTAGTTAATCCTAACGACACATGAAGTGCAAAGTTTGCCCCTCTCTGTAACATCTTTATCCACCATCCTTTGATTGCGAAAAACCGTTTCAGTGTCACTTCAATGTTTTTGAACGGCTCTTGATGAATGGGGCATTCTAGAAAAAACGCGAATGCGAATTAATCAAAATAAATTGGTTATTCAAAATGATATTGGCTGTGCCGCCTGAGTACACATTTTTTTTATTTACACGTGTGCCCAAGTTTAACGTTTCCCACTTTTGATTAAGAATTAGAGCCAAGGAGACGTCATACCAGTGTCTCTCTACGTGAAGTTTTGCTGTTATTGCGAACTAATACAATTACTATCTGTAAACACCAGCAACAGACAGAATTAGTGGACACTATTTAATCGGAAGAGGTTGGACAAAAAGTTAAGGTTTGCTTCTCCAAAACTGCGTGAGCATTGTAAGTTCTGTTTATTATGGCCTCAGTCATGACGTAAGTATCACAATCACATGGGACTATTAATGCTCCCTAGTACATGTAAGATAACAGGGAAGAAAAATCAGTCAGACAGATATCAGGTCATAATCTTCCTACTGAAAAGGGAATCGCCTTAGCTGAGAAACAGTTAGGACTCATTCCAAAATGCGGTGGTGATGCAACATTAATTAAAGGAAGAAAATGACCCTTCAGTTGAGGTAGTTCCTATAATTCTCCATGCGACTACTACAGTCAGAAGAACTGGTGCAGCAGTATAGTAAACAAAAGTTCCTGTATTTTTTAAGGGCCTGTAGCAACTCAGGCATTCCACATACCATACACTTTTCTCAGCCTCGTCATCACTCATACAGGCACGTCTGGTTATGCACTTCTGTGAACAAACATCCTCTGCTACTTTTACTTCAGATTTAGCTATGGAGGCATTTGTACTTTCACTATTTTATTAAACACTACAGGTTATGCATCTTCATTGCGACCTTGAACGCACAAATGCCCACAAAACACAACTGGTTTGAGTCAGCCCATAAACGAACGTGCCCGTCGTTTCTACTCGCTTTATTTTTCCCAAGTGAAGGTCGCATTCTCCTCTTTTAAATATCGGCTTAAAACAGACCTCAACCCATTGCAATCCGTCAACCAGATACCTAGCCAAGCTATGGTACACTTAAGTAAGGATTGATCGTAACAGTCAATGAAGCATTGCATTCATGTACGAACAGAACCGCACAATCTTAACATCCACTTGTAAAAACCGTAAAATGGCAGTTTGCATAAATGAATGCAGCTATTTAGCAAAGCTTAATCAATCGATATACCTTACCTATGAAAAACACCACGAATTAAAAATTGGCATGCTATTGCGGTTCTTACTAAAGTCTCTGAGTCGGATTTGAGGTAATTTTCTGATGCCCACTAGTCCAAGGAATTGGCTTTATACGTCTCGTCAATTAACGCGATATCCGCTTGCTGAAATACCGGTGACTTCTCTAGTATATAGCTCTTTAGTTATTTATGACAGGGGTGCGTTTTTAATAGTAATTGTCTGCGAAATTACACGAATGCCTCTTTCTTGTAAGACTCTCTTGCTTGTTTCAAGACTTAAACCGCATTCTTGGATGCAAGCATTTTCGAGCTACATCATATCATCCAGCATCTAATAGTTTGGTTGAGGGTTTCCACCGTCAACTGAAATCAGCCATTGCTGAGAAAGCTGCCTCGAATCACTGGTCTGTCTCATTACCATTGATTTTATTAGCCATTCGGAATACGGTACAGGATGACATTGACTTGACGCCAGCAGAACTTGCATTCGGTACAACTTTGCGCCTGCCTGGTGAAGTATTCACCAACTCTGACCGAGCTGTTGAGTTCACATCT